TCTCACCTGATTTGTTTCTGTACCACCACGATACACATAGGAATTAGTTAAGGATCGTAAAAATCCAATTGATAAATATTTTTTGTGAAATGCGGTCAATCTAGTGTGGGCTGTATCATGCATGGGAGATATATGTATATATTCTACTGTTCTCTTCCTATTTAAAAGATTTCTTACCTCTAGCGGAAGATTCTAGTTGGATGTGTCTCAAAAAATTTAGAAATGCTGTCGGTGAATCGGAATTTCAATCTGTAAAGGGCATTTTTCTATCTTGGTAATGCCTCTTGATAATTGCTGTTTTAGTTGCAACGAGGGTGGATGGAAGTTTTGTTTTATTAATGATCTTACTTGATTCTTGAATTTGGAGCAGCTGTAGCATTGTACTGTGGGTTCTGATCAATTATTTGTCAGCATTCACCTTTTCCATCCCAACTCTCTCAGCTTCATCCCACCCTTCTGCCTTGTCCTTAGGACAGTGATTGGTGAGGGTATCCTAGATGACTTCTTTACTTTCTCTTATTTTTTGATAAGAAATGGAGAAAATATGGAGGGCTAGTTTGGTAGTGAATTCTGCTGCTTGACTTTGGAGATCGATTCTGTTGGAGACTGTTTGATTTATGAATGGCAAAGAGGCGTAATTGTTGATTATTAGTCCTAAGTTAAACGATCCTTTTATTCTCCGTAAGATTAAGATGTTTCCTTTGTTTGCAAATCATTAGGCTATATGACCTTGGATTAGAAATGGCTATTGCATCTAGTTTTCTGAACTAGGGATGTACATAGTTCCATTTGTTTTTGGTTCCAAGAGAGACTGAACTATGAACCAATGGTTTTTTTTCTTTTATAATGAAATTAAGTGATTTTTTTTTTTTAAAGATATGAAACCAAACTGACGAACCATTCAATTTTGGTTTGGTTTATTTTGATTCTGATTTCATTTCTCAAGTTTTCATACTTGCACAATATCTATAAATTAGTAATATATACCTAAAAAAAAACATCAAATATTCAGAAATTTAAATTATCAATCATCAAAATTACAAAAGTCCAAATTAACAAACAAAATATAGTCATAATATGTATACACAAATCAATTTTCATTCGCATACAAAATGTTGTCTAATAAGTAATAACAATGATTCATTAAATTAATTGTAGCAGTTTTGACGACATACATCTATAATAAAGGATGAATCATGCAAAACTTTTATAATCTACTTTTACAAGCAATCATTAATGGTTTAATACTCCATGAATGTTTATTGGATTTTCCTCTATTTGCAAAGAATACAAATAATTCATCAAACAATCAAGGTGAAAAAATAGTTTAAAGGCTTTTTAAGTGATTGACAAATTTTATTTTTCGATCTTGAAAGAGTCTCCTTTACTAATGTAATAAAATGTGGTGTTGGCGTATCGCGACGTTGTGTAAATTGAAAAGGAGTGAAACAAAAATGAATAAAAAATTAAAGTGTGCACAATTAATGGGGTCTCCAATTAATACAAAATTAGGATATCCACTAATTAATATATAAGAAAAATAAAATTAAAAACTAAGTTTGATTCTGGTTCTCAATTCTAGAACTAGAACCGAACTAGATTCAGAGCCAAATGGTTCTTCTAAGAACCATTACTTTATTATTATTATTTTGTAGAATCGAACCGAACTACTTAGTTGGTTCAGTTCTGATTTGATTTGGTCTTGTCTGGACATTTTGTCTACCCCCTACTCTGAACACATCGATTTCGGGTCTATTTGTGGTTGATGAATGTATTACACGTGTATTTTGTAGTTAATGAGCATTGTGATGACCACATTTAAAAGTATATCATATTATTTTGTCTAACAACAATTATTGTTAAGCAAGAAATAAAAAAAAAAAAAAGAAATAGGAACATGAGAATTTTTCGTCTTGCTACAAGAGGTTCAGAGCGAAACTTTTAATTCCCTTTTGAGCTTTCGTCACTGTTAGAAATCATTGTTTTAGAAAAAAAATCAGATCATCCAAGATTACAACCGTCAAAAATCACTCAAGTTCTATCTATTTATGTTATTGTTCCCCGAAGAAAATAACACATCATATTAGCCGTACATTACATTTTTTGTCATTCAAGAAGAATAAAATCCAAAAGGAAGAAAAAGATTTAAGAATTCAATCTCACAAGAAACTAGCTAGAATTCATTTACCTGCATGTCAGGGCTGAGATGTCTCGTCCGTAGGTACTCATTGATCTAGTTGTCATCGGAGCCACAAATGATTATCTAAATTGATTCGTTTTTCCGATAAGTTCCAATTGTAAGAGAGATTTCAGAATTCCAGAAGATGGTAAGTAATCACCAAAACGTGTAACCAGATGAACATACGCATCACTTCATAAATTAAACAAACATGTGCGTCAAACAAAAGCCATTTAAAGGCCATTTCATCCAATTTGTTAATTCCATTGGACCCCTTTTGATCGCATGGGCTAAGCCTTGCAAACTCAAGTCCTTATATTTTTCTCTTCGTTGAATTTGATCCTCGACTTCCTTTTTTGTTCATCTTAAGTCCCTTCCTAATTTGCATTGATGGTTCTTCATCTGTTAAATCTTTACACACTTGTCCCCATCTTCCATAGTTTGTTTAGGTACTTTTCATCCAATTTTAGCTTTGTTTCTCCAATAGGCATTCAACATTGACTTTCTCATAAAACAAACAACATACAATAAAAATAAAATATCAATTCAATAAAAATACTCACAAACGTCCACTTTTGATTACTCGAATAGGTGTAAAATTACACATTATTTTTCACTAAAATATGTTGCTACATTACTTATTATTATAAACTAGAAGCATTTATTTTATTTTTGAGGTATATTCCGAATCCATGATTTATTCATTATTAAAGAATTAAAAATATTAATCGTATTTGGTGACGGAAGTTTACTGGGATTCGCTCTCCTAAATTGGTCGCTACATTATTTGATATTCAAAAATAAAAATAAATATTTTATTTAGTGACGAATTTATTTTATCCAAAATCCATCACTAGTTTCTATTTATTGGATCAACTTTTTTATATCCCATATCGCTAATTCGACATGACATATTAGTTTGTGAGGAGAAAAACACTGTAAAATTTTGTTTGTTGCCATGTTTACTGTACATATTTTGCTTGTGGCGTCTCTAGGGATTTCTATACATTCTCAAGAAAATAAACTTCACAGTAGTTTTTATTAAAATTTAGGGTTCCATCTTAAAATATCAATCTCGTTAAGAGGGATCGCTCAAGTTCTTATATGTTGATTTTTATTTTCATCTTTATTATATGTGAGATTTATTTTTTAATATGTCCCCATAAAATGGTAGCTCATTTAATCAAACCAATCTTGAAATTCGCGAATTCATTTTTTTTTAACTGAATCAAGTTGATCAATGAAATTCAATGGACTCGATACAATATTAAAACTTGAGCTTTATTTTAAAATGTCAATCTTATTAAGAAGAGTAGTCAAAACGTTTACATGGTCTATATTTTTATTTTTGTCCGATGTGGGATTTAGTTTTGAATTTTGTCAACTCCTATTGAACACATATTAATACTTGATAGCAAATCTAGAAAATAAAATATAATCTAGAACATCAGACGATATTAATAATTTCTTAAAATCTCCAAACCTCGTTTTCACACACAATTGATTTACCTAGGGCCAACCATTGCCAAAGACATTCCAACTATATTTTAAAGTTGAAGATGTTCAATAATTGGAGTATTAACTTGGTCGTACTTCAATTAGAAATTAAATTATTCATTAATTTTTGTTCTTGCAATCTGTTCCTATGCATATATGTCTATCATCAGAGACGGAATCAAAGCCTCCATTATATATATGTGAGAAGCTAAGCCCACTATTCACTAACAGAACTAGAACAAGGTAACAAAAAAAAAAAAAAGCACAAAGAAATGGCAGTTGTTGGAATCAAAGCCTCAACCTTGTTACTTAGTACATTAATGGTTGCTACATTTTCAATTTGTAGCAACCAAATTGCAATGGCGCAAGACTGCACGTCCTCTTCCGTCACTACTTAGGTTCAGAATATTGGGGTGTTTTGCGATCCGAGGGCTGTTCAGTTGTTGCGTACCACAGCCGCTTGTTGCTCTGCAATTAAAAGTTTCGACTTTCGTTGCATCTGCTCTTCTCGTGTCAAGACTTGTGGGCTTAAGTGGTTCTTCTAACTTTGTTGGGCCGGTTCATTACCCATTCCTAATGTTGCTTAGGTGTCACTCACCTATTTGTAACTTAGGTATAGCCCGGATCGTGTGTTTGTTGAGGATTATTTGTGATCCTTGATTTTGATCTACGGTTAGGGATTAATCTACCTTTGATATTTTGCTTGGGCCTTGACATTTTGACTCGACTTCCTCTCTTTCGTTGCTGCCCGTTTTTCTCTCTGAAGGATCGATTCTTCTTCCTCCTTTGCTCCTACCGAAAATCGACCTTGATAACCTGTTGATGGGAGATATACATGTGTAGACTTAGGCCTGAAGTATGTGGCTAAGTGTTGGTTCGTTCTCGTGGGTTTAGGTTCAATTTTAGGGTTGTTCTTGGCTGCTATGGTAGAGGGGTATTTTCCAAACTAGCCGGGTATATTAGATCCATTTGGGTTTTTGTGAAAAAGTCTATTTTATTCTTAATGATATATAATTTGTTTATTATAAAGTATATCCTTTCTT